AATTGGAAAACTTAATATTAACTAAGATGGAACAATTGCCAAAATGATTAACATCATCCCTATCAAACATGATTCAAGATGATCCCTACTAAAATTCAATCTTCCCTTTTTGCAGTAATTGGCAAGCTGACCCTAAAATTCTTATGGAAATAAAAGGAACCCAGAATAGCCAAAACAATTTTGAAAAATAAGAACAAAGTTGAAGGACTAACACTTCCCATTTCAAAGCTTTCTACATGGATACAATTATTAGAACTCTGTGTACTGGCATAAAGACAGACATATAAATCAATCGCATAGAACTGAGAGTCCAAAAGAAAATTCTTACATTTATGGTCGATTTATTTTTATCAAGGGTATTAAGACATTTCAATGGAAGAAACTGATAGTCTCTTCAACAAATGATGCTGAAGCAACTGGATATTCATGTGCAAAAGAATGAAGTTGGACCCCTACCTCATACCATATACAAAAGCAACATAAAATTGATCAAAGACCCAAATGTAATAACTAAAACTATAAACTGTTAGAAGGAAATATAGGTATAAATGTGCATGACCTTGTATTGGCATAGGTTTATTAAATATGACACCTAAATACAAGCAAAGAAAAAATAAATAAGACTTCATCAAAATGTAAAAAAAATTATGCTTCAAAGGGCACTATGAAGAAAGTGAAAAGACAGCCTGCAGAATGTGAGGAAGTATTTGCAAAGCATATAATTAAAAAGGGACTTTTTTCTAAGACATATAAAGAACACTTATAACTCAATAATAAAAAGACAAATAACCTGATTTTAAAAATTGACAAATCATCTGGACAAACATTTCTCCAAAGAGGATAATACAAATGGCCAATAACACATGAAAAGACTCTCAATATCATTAATAATCAGATGCAACTCAAAATCACAGTGAAATACTATTTCACACGCCCATGTGGATGGCTATAATTTTTTAAATGGAAAATAACAAGCATTATTGAGAATGTAGAGAAATACTGACTTTTCTTATACCTTTGCCAGGAACATTTTCTTGGGCCTTGTGGCCCAGGAAATCTCTGTAAAGTTAGTATTATGGGTTCTGGGATTTTGTTTCTTATTCTTTCATTGTTAGGTTCTCTTCTTTCCTCAGTACCACATTATTAGGGCTACTATGCCTTGAAAGATCAGAACAGTTATCGTACTTTGGCTGTTTCTGTTTACCCCTCCAACTATGTGATACAGTATTTTATGGGGTCAGATAAGCAACACTATAAATTCATGTGATTTTAAAAATTACCCATGAGCATTTTTGTTTCCTCCTATGTTTACATTTATAATTTTATAAAGTTTTTACTGTAGCATAGATATATTTTGTATTCAACTTGTCTTACTTAACATATCATAATTCACTCCATCTCTTAGACTTAAAATTATAATTTTAACAGTCCACTGTGTTGATGGAAGGCACAATCTTGGCCAAGATCATCCTAATATTCAGAATCCCCGTTAAAATGAACGTGATTATATCTAAGTCCAAACGGTATTTCAACAATTTTCTTAGTTATATGAGCCTCCAAACAAATGGGATTTAACTGTTTCTTTCTACTTCTGTGCTGATTAAATGAGTGCTTTGTGCAGTTTTGTGAGCTGCTTTCTTTCTTTAGTCTTTTGTGCATTTCAGACATTTTTTCTCTATTTGTTCTTTTACGAGTAGCTAACCTATAGGCTTATTTGACTTCATCCCAACTGGATCTTAGCTCTTTGCTGAGCACCAGCCACTCCTTCTGAGACCTCTTTGGCTCCTTAGCATGAAACAGGACAGATGGTCCTGAGAAAGGCTTTTAGAATTGAAACCTGCTGCCCTGAGTCTTTGCTGTGACGGCTTCCCCAGGCTTGCAACACCTCTCACTGCACTGTGGGCACGTCTGTTGCAGGGGCGTCAGTGCACTCAGCAAGGTGTGACACACCCCTGCCACCAGCATCTAGAGCTGGGGGAATTTGGAGATTCATACTGACTGTGTTTTCTGGTATCTGTGTGTCTATAACTCTTAGAAGCTTGGCAATTATTTCAGTTTTAAGTTTGGTCTAGAGATTTTAGGAACATGAATCAGGGAGAAAAACAAGAATAAACAGTTATGGGATACATTACTTTTCTATTGCTGCTGTGACAGTAGCTTAAAACAATACAAATGTACTATTTTACAGTTCCATAGATCTGAAGTCCAACACGGGTCTTGTTGGTCTAAAATCAAGGTGTTGGCTGGGCTGTGTTTCTTTCTGGAGGCTCCAGGGGAGAATTATTTCCTAACCATTTGCAGCTTCTTGAAGCCTCCCACAGTCTTTTTCTCATGGTCCCCTCCTCTGTCTCCAAAGCCAGCAACAGCGGGTTCAGGGCTTCTCACATGGATCACCCAACCTCCTGTTCTGCCTCCCTCTTATTTTTAAAGACCCTAGTGATTATGTTGGGCCCACCCAGATAATCTAGGATAATCTCCCTATTTTAAGATGAGCTACTTAACAACCTTAATTCCTTCTGCTAACGTTCCCTTTACCATGTAACCTGGTAATCACAGATTCTGAGGAGTAGCGCACAGTCATCTTTGGGGACCATTATGCTATCTGTTGTACCTGAAGTCAGCTAGAAGCTCCAGAATCTATTATTTTAAGCTAGAACATCACTCCAAGATCATGAGGACTTGCACTGAGACAGAAATAGATCAACAGGTAGAGAAGGTCTCCTGTTGCAGTCCTTACTTTTGTACATGAGGAAAAGAAACTAAGGCCTATAGAGGTAAAGGAGCCAAAAATCAAACTAGCTGGTGGTAGGAACTGGATTTAAAAAGTTTTATAAATATGTGGGACAATGCTGCTATCATTGATAGCCTTTGATGTTTATTGTTTGATTAGACTTACAATTTTTTTTTCTTGCCTGAGTTAATAACTTTTCATGATATGTGTCTCATCCATGTTAATGTTTGGTGGTGTGTCAGCTCTGCCTCATTCATTGGTGCAAATATGGCTCTAAATTAACCACAGCATCATTTGCTAAACCCAATGGCTTAAGTCTTGAAAAAGAATTTTAAGAGCCACCATGCAGACCATCATCTCCTATCTTTAAGTCCCGGGTTCTGTAATTGATCTAATGCCAAATTATGGTTGTCAGTGTTTACCCTCTGCCCAGTTCCTGACTGTCACCTGAATTCACTGGATGCTCTTGCCACTCTCCTAACTTACATTCCCACTTCCAGAGGCTGTGTCATTGGACCTACTTTCCATTTTAATGTTCCTGCTCTACACTTTGGTGATATTTCCTTTGGTGAGTATTTTTCCATTTTAAACTAGAAATTGAGTAGAATTACTTTTCTCTCTACATGGGAGGAAGAATGTTTACAAAGAACCTAATTTAAATCATATTTGATTGATTGATTTGATTTGATTTAAAACTAATTTCTAAGAGTGGTTCTTTTTAGGATGTGATAATAAAAAGTTTGCAAAACCCTGGATTAAATCCGTATCCCACAGTCCTTCCCGTTTTGCTCTGTTGCGTCCCCTTTCACCTTGAAGTTCTCTCGTTTCAAGTAGGCCGATCTACTCGGGGAAAAATAGTTCTTTGGGAGACCCAACTTCATAATGCCTTTATCAACTGCTTTAACATTTGGGGGATATGATAGCTTTATTTATCCAGGACACATTTATTTATACATCATGTTATATTGTGATGGATAAATCTACATTTTATTGGATAAGGTACATCCTATAGGAGACTAATAAATGAAATTGAATATCTACTTGTTTCTATAGAATATGAAAAAGGCTAGAGAGATTTTTATAAATGTATAGGGCATGTTTGAGTGACAGACTATTTTGAAGGAGAATAGAAGTTATCTGCAGCTTGAAAATCATCTAGTGGCCAGTGAAGAGAGGCATACTCTCTCAAGGGTACCGGTGACCACTGCCCAAGAATAGGTGAATTCATACACCCAGAGACCTATGAGGTCATCCTCCAAACAGCTCAAGCCAATCCACAGAGCAGGCTGGGCAACTGGTTCCTGATAGCAGCCTACCCTTCCATGGGCATTTAAACATGAAGCCCAGCAAAAGGCCGTTTGGAAGGTGTGCCCTGTATCATGTTGCCTGGAGGGAGAAAGCAGAGTCCAAATAAACACCTCAAATCCATTACTCCAAGAAATCTCACACTGATTCATTGTCCAGAATCTGCCCTATTGCTCAGCTCTGCAGTGTTAATGTAAATGCTGTACCAATAGAAAGCTAATTATTGAGTCCCCAAGATATGTGAAATACTTTTATCTAGAATCCAAACATTTAAAAACATCAGGATCCCTAACTGCACATTTAAGTGGATATGGCAAATAGAAAGTGTACAATTACGTACGCGCTCCCAAGATGTACATACATTCCCAAGATGTTATTGATATACTCAAATGCTGCATTTGATATTGGCAAGCTCTGGGTCACACAATGGGTAAAACCAGAAGGCTAGGTAGCTATTTCCATGAGCAGTTTTCAATTTGTTACTTTCCTATCCATAAGGATAAGGAATGACCTCATTGGGTAATTTATTCAGAGTTTCCTTGAGCTATAGAGATAATAATCAATATCTGTCCCTAATAGTTGGCCCAACTAGAAGTTTTGGCCAACTAGCTTAAGTGAAAATTAGAAACAATTTTTCTTTTGTTGTGTAATATCTTAGTGAACCAGTTGTTGATACAGCAGCTAGACAAAAGGCTGGAAGACACCAGAGCCACGACCCAAGATTCCCCAAGCCTAAAATATGAAAACTAATCCCCTCCCAAGTCCACCTTCAAAACCCAAGTTACCATTTCTTTTAGTTTGGATTTAGATTCCTTAATCTTCTCCTTAATGGGGCAGGAAATGTTACCAAAAACATACTTTTTTGCTCGCTGACAGGGAATCAAGGGTTTATTGGGTTTCAAAACCATTTGGGTCAGTTAATCCAAGCTACTTCTGGATTCTGCACTTTAATGGATGAAGTTAGGGACAGTTTTGTATGATAATCTTTCAAAATTATTTTGTGATGATATGTTTAAATATAAAAGTGGGGGGTAGAGTCTTCATGACTCTGAAACAATCATTATTTCTCCAGGTAGACTGGCCTCCCATTCCAAAGAAACATGGTTCATTGGAAAGTTATTTATTGGAAATGTTCTTCCTATTTTCCTGCATGAGCAAGTAGGGCTTTGATGAGGCAGATGAAAGTAAATATGTTATTGGCTCAGGAATGAAAGACCAGCAGGGGTGCATATAGTTCCAGATGTAAAAGAGAAATTAACTGTTATAAGAGCAAGCCAGGAATTGAAAGAATTTTTTAGTGTTTTTAGGATGACAGGCATTTTGTATGGAGTTAAGCAAGGTATGCAGAGACGGTTGTAGGGCTGGGGAGTACATTAGGCTAAGTAAAGTCAGTAATATTGTCCCTTTATTGGCACTAAGGCCTATCCCTGAGGACATGTCTGTTATAGGTTAGATTATTAATCTTCCTACTTCATGTAAAGTCTGCTTCTTTTGAGGAACTTGGAATAGCAATCTATTTCTGAAAGTCATTCATTTCTGGAAGCATTTTAGCAAAATTCCATGTAAGACCTCCAGTAAGAATAGTTTCCAACATGTTTTCAGTCAATATTTCAGTTTCTTTGGGCATCTTTTTACCCGAAGGTCTACCTCATAATTAACAGCAGGGATGGTGAAGGCTCTAAAGAAGACTGTTGGTGTATTTTTCAGAGTACTAATTGTTGAGGTTGAAATTGAAGGCAGAGCTGCTGAGGGTGAGTTTTTAGGGTAGGCTTCTTGACCTTATAGATGAGTTGGTTCGTGACAATTTTTACTCATGTCTGCATGAAGCAGGCTTTATTCAGATTGGTAAGAGACTTGTAGTCACACAGATCTTCTAGTTATTGTTTCCTAAGGTGAAGAGTCTGAGTTCCAGGTGGAGCTAACCTGGTGATGGACGTTGGACCTAGGGGTAAAACTCTTCACCAGGAAACTCCAAAGAGCCTCAGAGAGCTTGGCCAGTTTAAGATCGGTAATACTATTTTTACGCTCTACATTTCCAAAGGACTGTGGATTGTGAAATTTTTGGTCAAATGGTTAATAAGTTATAAGATTCTTTCTAACTCTTCAATGTAAGGCTGGTATTTCCCAAGAAGGAAAGTTATAATGTATAATTTCTTAGTCACATTTATGGCAGTGCCTTTCTGTATAAGAATTCAAATCCATCTAAGGAATTTATGGACAATTACAAGTGCATATTCTTGACTGGGTGGTTTGGGCACAGCCCACTTGTATTTGAAAGGTATGCTGGCATATAATTCAGATCCATGTCCCACTGCACAGTTTTCCTGGAATATGAGAACAGGTTGTAAGGCAGGAGCCAGCCACTCCCCTAGCTACAGAGGAGAAATTTTCTCATCAACTCTTATTCAGAGATTATCTTGTTTCTTCTATAATGGGGTCTGTGTTATAAAATTTTTGTCGAAGCTCAGCTCAGACTTGGGGCACACTGTAGTTGGTATGCCAGAGACCACTGAAGTGGGTAGAGGATCCCAATTTTATGTACTGTTTGATTTCTAAGTCTGAGGCTGAATTTTTTGTGTCCAACATAGATTGTGCAGATATATTTATTGATGCCCCCATTCTGAATTATTTCCATAGACAACTATAAAAATGCCACCTCCTTTGCACATTTCCCTTTGCTTTGCGGAGATTTTTAAACTTACTAGAAAAATTAGGAATCCGTTGTCTAAAATATCCCATAAATCCCTAAAAGTCTATCAGTTGTAATTTAATTTTTGGTCTTGGATATTGCTGGATCAATTTAATACTCCCATCTTCTTAGGGGCTTCCTAGGTTAGAAAATACACATATTGAATGAGAATCATATTTCTTGAGAATATTGTCTTCTAAATCATTATTTAAGTACTGGAAGAGATATGAAGGTGCCTCTGTGCTTTCAAGGCTTTCTGGCCAACCACATTGTTAATTATTCCGGGAAAAGGCACATAAATGTTGAGTTTTCATGTACTAGTTGCTAAAGAAGGGAGAACAGAAGTCTTCACTATAAAGGATTTGCATTCAGTTGAAACTATAGATAAAATAGTATTAGGATTTGGTACAATCAGAAACCTTGGAATAACATTTGTATTAATGACCTTTTAGTCTTCAGTATAATAATATCCCTTTCCTTTAGGCTTCTTGACAAGCAGTATATGGGGTATTACAGGTAGTTGGTTGTACAAGGAATTGTTCTATCTAGGAAGCTGTAATTGGCTTTGTTCTCAGTCTTCTAGCTTCAGGGAAGTAGTCTGAGCAATGATTTGGAAGGACCCGTGTGAATCTGTAAGGGTCCACTTCCATAATGCACCCTGCACTTAAGAGTGTTTATCCCATAAACGGGCAGGTCAAATAAGGTTAAGGGGTATACAGTTTCAAGAATCATTGTATGGGAAGTTCAGAGAAGTCAAATGTAGCAATGGATTTTGTCAAATATACATGATTTTGAAGCTGACTTTCTAGCAGTTCTTATGGAATTTCCAAGAATCATCCTTCAGGTGCACTTAACAGACAATTCTTTTCCCATAAAAGATCTCTTCCAAGTTGATTGGTAGGTGTGGTATCACAAAAGGAGATAGGAACGTGTTTCTTCCAACAGTCTTAATGTGTAGACAAAGGCTCAGAAATGGGGAAAGAAGTAGATCAGTTCAAAATATCCCCTTGAGTAATTACTCCAAGAGACCAGTTGTATTTTACTGCAGGAATGTTCAGGATAGAAAGGGCAGTGTCTGCTTCCAGTAGAAATATGCATATTTGTTCTCCCATCATTGTAGATAGTTCTTGTTCTGAAAGTGACAGCAGGTACAACGACCGTCTAAGGGAACTCAAAATCAGAGCTCAGTTTGTTTGCCAGGAAAGGAGGATCCACACCTCTTAGGAAAGGCACATGAGTCTCACCGAACTGAATGGAGGAGGACTTAGACCTAACATGGGAAAGCCGCTTTCCCTAAGGGACGTAAAAGCTGATGTATTGTCTCTGGCTGGCTCTGCCTCATAAAGTCTCTCAGGAGAGGCTATGATTCGATTTTCTGTCCTCAGCCCCGAGGCCGCGAGCCACAGACAGATCCAGGATGAGCTATGCAATGTCTTGGCAGGCTCAGGTCGCACAGAGGCCACGACTGCCCAGGCTTCTCCTTTGACACATTGGCAGATAAAAAGAGCAAAAATGATTCTGTTTTGGGAGGAAGAAAATCTATGTATCTATGCAAAAATTAAATGCAAAATAGCCTCTGGAAGACTACTCAGCAAACTGATAATTGAAGCTGCTTCTTGAGGGGGGCCTGGATGACTATCAAAGGGTTATTTTATGTCTATTCCCACAAAGTAAATGCATAATAAGTGTTCACTGAATGAATAAATGAGATGTGTTTATTCACTGTACCATAGAAAACAATAGCAGGGGGAGGTGGGGTTAAGTGAGCAGTGATGTACTGCACAGACAGTCACCTAAGAGGTTTGGCAGTGCTTGGCTTTGAAATTAAAAGGAGGCTTTGGTGGGAGGGGGAAGGGGGTTTTATTTCTGTCTTCATATTTTGTTTTCCAGGGTTTCCTCATACCTTGATATGTTCCCTCAATAATACTTCCTTGGTCCCCATGACCTTCAAACTACGTATCCCTGGGGATGGCGTTGGTCATAAAAGCATTTCAAGTTGTGAGCAGTATTCAGACAACAGAAGACCAATTTGGAACAAGGATGAAATACCCGTAATAAAACCACAAGAATTCACCATCACCCCTGACCGCGGCACCATTCGCCCCCAAGGATTTGCTCCTATCAGGGTAAAGTGCACAGCCTTCCAGCACACACAGCCACACAGCCCAACTCTCCAGCGTGGGGCCACGTGTAGGGTTTGCACTGAATGCTCGGTGTCAGGGAGAGGGAGTGCCTCTAATTCATGTAGAAAGGTGGCCCAGGAAGGAAATAAACTACTGTGGCAAAAGAAACCGAATACAAACGTATCGGGCAAAATAACTGAGAGTGTCCCCTGGACCTCCATCAGTCTACATATATTGCTTCACCAGAACAGTGCATTCTAGCAATTTCTAGTGGAACCCTGTTCTATACAGATAGTATACCCATCAATATTAATATGAAAAGATTTAAGACCTCGTTGGTAATTAGGTCCTCCCTTCCTTCAGAGTCAAATCATTCTTAGCAGTAAATGTCCAGATTTATGCTACAGCTGGTAGCCAGTTTATTCAGATTTTTTATCCGAATCCGGACTTCAAGGTGATTGTGGATGCGATGTTCCCAACAGAGCTTTCTGTTCAAGTCCACGGGGTCATGTTCTGGTCATGGCCTTGTGGTCCCACCAGCGTGATCGTTTCATGTCCGGCAAGAAAGGTTTGTGGTCTTCCCTCCTTTGCTTTTGCTTCTTCAGGCAGTTAGGCCCAGCAATATGGAAGGCTGCTAAATTGAAATGATTTTATCTTTTCTGGGAAAGAAAAAGATAAGACTTCACAGCTAAGGTTGGTAATTTTGTTTTTCATCACTATCTTTGAATATTCAATTCAGCTATGGTTTTATTTGTTTTAAATGCTTCAGAATGTCTTGCCATGCATCCACTCATCCTAAATCTTTTCTGGAAGTTTCAGCTCTTCCAAGTGCTTCTCCACAGGCCCAGTGAGGTTTGGCATCACTTCTTAGGGTTGCTATCTTAGTTTGTTTAGGCTGCTAGTACAAATAGCAGAGACTGGGTGGCTTATAAGCAACAGAAGTTCTTTTCTTATGATCTGACGTCTGGAAGTCTGAGATCAGGGTGCCAGCATGGCCGGACTCTGGTGAAGGTCCCCTTCCAGGTTAGACCTCAGACTTCTCCTTGTATCCTCACATGGGGAGAGGAGTGAGGGAGCCCTTCTAAGGGCACTAATCCTGTTCATGAGGGCTCCACCCTCATGACCTAATCACCTCCCAGGAGCCCCACCTCCTACAACCATCACATTGGGGGTTAGGATGGCAACACATGAATGTGGGGGTGACACAGACATCCAGATAGACACTCACAGAGCAGTTGCTCACTGACTTTCCAGGAGAAGTGCTGCTGCAAAGAACTGATTTATTTTTTTTCCTTAGTAAGTAATACTCAGCCTACATGTCACCTACCTTTCCTTTTTCTTTTCTTTTTTTGCAGCCTTCTGCTAGAACCCCTTGCTTGTTTTTCTGCCTTCTACCATAGCTCAGAAATAAGGGTTAAAGTCACTCCAGGAACCTGTACACACTGGGGCAGCAGCTTTGCTCCAAATCTGAGAAGTTTTCTTTCCAAATCAATGATTCCATCTTCATTTTATTTTTCCTATTTGGAAAATCTTCCTCCAACTCTCAATTTTCCTACCTGGTCTGCACTTCAGCCACATCTGTGTGGACTCAAATTTGCATCCAATGATTCCCTTTGCAACCAAAAATTTTTTTAATTAGTACCTGATACATAATTTATAGATAGAAAAGCTTGAACCTATTCCTGAAGTTCTCTTCTTCACTTATAAGTATCTCTTCCAGTATAAATCATTTTAAAGCAATTAAAAATTGTAATAAGGCTTCAAAAGCCTAAAGATAAAGTTTCACAACAGCAAATAAATACATGGGGTAAAAAGTACTGGCCAGATAATATCCTTGGTTAGACCTTTCTTTAGAGCTTCCTATTTTCTGCTCTAATAAAGAATATTGCAGGTGGAGGGTAGGGAACAAGATTTTGGTATTAAAAAAAAAAGACTAGTTGATTTCTTATGCAATTTTCTGAAACAGACATGGTTATGTTAATTTATTTTGCTGTAAGAGAAGTGTTGATAATTTATATAGCCCAGGGGTGGAGGGAGCAATTTAAATTGCAATAATTAAAAATTTGTTTGATATTGCTCATCCTTCACGGTCATTTTTCACCTTATGCATTTATCCCCTTCTTTGATCCAGCCTCCTCAGAAATGAGCGAATCTATTGTACTAAAAACCGTTTGGGTTCTAACCTGGCCTTTGAAAAAGCTCAGCATGCCCTGACCCCAAAATGTAACTTGTTCAACTAAAAGTGTAAAACCCCACACATCCCCTAATGAAGTACTCAGAAGCCACACTCTCCAGTGTGACCCTCCCCATGGCTCCTTTCTCCCTGTGCAAAGGAGAGTCAACCTTTTAGAAGAGCAGCTTTTCTCCTTTTCTTTCCAGGTAACGTTATGCTCCAACACTGTGCAGAAATATGAGCTGGCCCTGGTGGTAGATGTGGAGGGCATCGGGGAGGAAGTGCTGGCGCTCTTAATCACAGCAAGGTAGCACGCTCACCTGCTTTCCCTCTGCTGCGTTTCCCCTGAGCCACCAGTTTCTGCCTGGCCAGAAGGCCGCGGGCCCGCAATGGGCTCACACTACATTTGCTCTGCTTTCCTGGCAAGGGAAGCTGAATAGGCTTTTCAAACGACAGACCTTTAAAACAGCAAACATACCTGTGGTGGAGATAAGAGAAGGGTATGTGTTTTGTGGTATTAAGAATAGTGTTCTCAGGTTTGTTGGTATAGTGGTATGATTCTCGCTTTGGGTGCGAGAAGTCCTGGGTTCAAGAATAGTGTTCTCCAGTGAGTCTAACTTTCCAGGTACATAGCTAAGAAGGTTTTGTCAGGAAGAGGCGAATAGTTGCTGTTTTCTGTTTTTGACTTTAAATGTAGTACCCCAGAGTTATGCTGCAGAGAGAGCGGTGCTCACAGTCCTGCAGTGGGGGGTCCATCAGAAAGACTGTCCGGCTCCAGGACACTGTTAGTACAACTTGAATGCAGGCTGCACGTGGGTCCCCCAGATGAGGCCCTCTCTAACAAGATAAGCCCAGGATCATCCCCAGTGTCTCTCTTTTTTAATAGAGGCAACAGTGGGCTCTGGAGTGAGGTTAAGATGTGGCTCTGCCATTTGCCGACCGTGTCACCTTGACCAAGTTCCAGTCCTTCTGAGAGCGGTGTGTCACCTGTGATGACAGTGATCCTGAACAAAATCATGTGCCACACTCTTGCCCAAGCAAGCCAGCATCCAGATCCAGGAACTCGCAGTGTGTGCATGAAAAATGCCTTCTAAGGAAAGAGAGATAATTACTTAGCAAAACGCCAATAACATATCAGTCCCTTGGACTTCGGTCTCTTAGGATCTTAGGAAGATGCACCTTAAAGGAGGTGCAGATGTGCTGGCTGGTGGGGCATCTGAACTGCCCCATTTTGTGTGTCCTGGGCTTGGCTGAAGTCAAAGAGCAGCCCTAGAAGAACTTGAGGGGCATCTACTTAGTATTCCTTCCAAAGACCTCGCTGATTCTATTTGTTTAAAAACAGCAACAACTCTTTCATCTGGCCCTCTTTCTACCCATCTTTGCCTTTTTGTTTAGGCTTGCATCTCTTTACTATGTGGGTTTGTTCTGACACCTTCCAGCCCCTTTTCCCTGCAGCTATTAATAGAGAATCATGAGTTTAAAAGGGGGGGAAAAAAGCTCTTAAGAGGCTGTGAGTTCCCTGCCCTGTGTACTCCATGACCCAAGTCAAGTGCTATAAACTCTATCAGCCACAGGGGTGCAGGGAGCAAAGGATTAGCTTTACTAAAGTCACTGGGTCAACTGACAGCTTCCATTGTAGCTAAAAATGAACACTCATCCCATGCTAGCTTCTCAGCTGCGGGGTTAACAAGCCTCTGTCCTGCCGTCACTTAGGGTGTCATCTATAGGAAGTGCTTGCACACTCCCAAAAAGAGAGTTTCCTAGGCAGCGGCGGTGGCCCGCTGGGCTCTGCAGCACAGCTATCCATCTCTCATGGAGCCCTCGGGGGCGCTGCCCTCTGCCCTGCTTTCCCGTTATCTCCTGCATTTCCCAGAGCGCCCTAAGAAGAGTTAATGATGCGGATGTCAGTCCTAGAATTACCTTCATTTGCCTATGAGCAAATGGGACTCCAGGAGGGAAAGCAACCTGCTCAGGGCTGCACTCCGTAAGGTCGCACCTGGCGCTGACTGATTCAAGCTCCCGCGCTCCTCAGCAGTGCACTGTATTGTCATATGCAGCAGGGTGGGTCAGACGTAGGGATTCACAGACACACAGTGACACCTGCGTCATCTAATCAGGGAGCACCGTACACGCAGGGCTTCAATGCCTCCCTCCCCTCAGACAGCTGCCCTTCCTCTCCCCACCACACCCTCGTGTTGAGCACCTCTGTCAGTGCCCGCACTGGGGCCAGCAGCTGCCTGAGCCTGCTGATCCAAGACAGCCACTCAGCACAGGAATCAGGACCATCCCCATTGCCTAGGTGGCACGTGTTGGGGCCAGTCCATAGGGGACGCTGACTGGTCCAGAGTGCCACAGCTGGTTAGGGCCCCATGCTGGTGGCGCGGGTCCTGTCTGCCATGGAAACAGATCCTCTACCCGAAGGAACTTGCACTGGGGGGCGGGGGGGCCTCTGCCAAAGGACGGCCAAATATGAAAAACAGTGGAAATGTTTGTCATTACTCACGGAAGACAGCTGTTTAAGGAGTCCCGCTTCTAGCACATTTTTTTATTAAAATGTGGTGACAGGGGGCTAAGGGACAAGGATAACAGGAGCGAAGATTTGAAAACAATTGATGTTGTTATTAGAGAAAAACTACTATGTGACCGTGATAAATGTGCTTAATGCAGGGCTCTGCGTGCTCCCTACGTGAGCAGGCGCCCTGTCCCCGTGCATTCTGGCACGGGCTCCTTCCTTCGGCAGGTGTATTGTACCTGTCCTCCAGCTGGGTAATGCAGAGGTGGACTTCGGGCACTGCTTCCTGAAGTACCCATATGAGAAAACGGTCCAGCTTGTCAATCATGATGACCTCCCAGGATTCTACGAGGTCCTGCCTCAGGTGAGTTACTTTATCCTTTTTCAGTGTTCATTTTTCTTCATTTGGCATCCCTCTATGAGAGAGAGAAATCCTTCTAAAGAGCCATATTCCTGAACACATGACCTTATGTTATTCTGATTTTTAATCCTGGGATAAAGTGCCTCATCTAGGAATGGGGTTATAGAGCCACAGCTGGATTGCCACCTGTGTGCATGAGCAGCTGCAGGTGTAGACACTTGTTAGTTTCCCAGGGAAACTGTCTTTGATAAAGAAAGGAAAGTGTCAAAATTTTTTTAAGCCAACATGTAGAAGTTGCACCTGCAAATAATTGCCTGTGAATTAACCTTGCATGGATGAAATGAGGCAGAGCTCGGAGCAGCATCACTAAGACACAGTAATGAATATTTATAAGCGGGTTGTTGAACCAGAACACCAGAGATAATACCAGAATGAGAAAGAGGAATTATCTCAATGTTTTATGAAGTAGATTTGTCCATATGCCACTACACCTAGCTAGGTGGGAGATGGAGCAATTAAATACATGCAGATAAAAGATTCCAAAAGATCTGTTCAGTCTAGTTTAATAGAAGCTTGCTAATGAGATGCAGTTTACCAAGAATGCACTTGGGTTTAAAATACAGTTCTATCAGTGCAATACTCTGGTAAACATTCATGCAAAAAGAAAACCAAATGGAGGTCGTATTTGACTACAAGTTCAAAATGAGTTAAAAGACCAGTATGGGAGTTACAAAACCAAGAAGATTTAGGCTGCATAAGAAAAACAGTGTTCAGCTAAAGGAAGGAGATAGCCACAGGGCAAAGCAGTGCCAGAATTTTGTCCTCAGATCTTGACATTGTATTTTATTTCTTAATGGAAGCTTGAAAAGAAACAAAACAAAACATTGTATTTCACATTTGCAGTAACCAGAATGGCAGTCTACGTCATCTGGAAATTCAAGTCATATGAGGAACAGGCACAGTGTTTAATCTGGAACAGAGAAGACACAGCTGGGATGAAATTCTGCTCTGCATTAGCCAAAGGGCTGTTACTTAAATGAGGGAATAAGAATGAGTCTATGGGCTTGTCTGAGACAAAACCAGAAGCCAAACACTGGGCAACAAGAAACAACTTTTCTAACCCCACAGGCAGGTTGGGTGAGATCAGGCCATGTTATACCAGACCAGGCACAGGGACCCCCGGGGTTCTCCAGGCAGGTGAAATCTGCACACCCTGCCCTCTCTGGGAGCTGAGGCTCTGCACAGCATTCCCCAGAATTACCCAAACTTACATTTCTTTTGGCATTTTTAAACTTTTATTTGTTGTTATTTCGCTAAAAGCTAATAATATACTGCAGAGCAGGGGTCCTGAAGACCATACATTGGTGAACACTTGATGTCATTCATTCATTCCCCTACATGTTCCCCATTTAAAAACAGGCACTGAGAATACTTTCTGGGCCAGAAAGTAGGCATGTATGGAGGAGAGGCCTATGAAGTTTACAGCCTGTGGAGAGGATGGACACATAGGTAGTACAAGCTTGGAAAGGTGCAGGTGCTCCCTGGGGACAGAAGCTGAGCCCCGACTCTAGAGCACCGGGCCTACCTGGGGGTGTGCAGGATGAGTGTGCACGTAAGATGAAGGGAGTGGGCATTCCAGGAAGAGTAACCACTAGTGCAAAGGGCTGGAGGTGTGAGGCAGTATCATGTGTTCAGGAAACACCAGTGGCCTCAATTGACAAAGTGCAAAGGGACGAGGGGGCGGGGAATGAGGAGGGAGGTGTGGAGGGCCAGCCTACGGAATCTGGTCCAGGGAAGCTATAGTCCTGCACTGGCTCCTGGTGTGGATAACGCTGCATCTTGCTGAGTTGTGCACTTTGGATTTGGGGACATTATGCACACACCCCCTTAACTAAACTTCCTTTCAACAGAACTGGGGTGCTCATCCCCACTTAGTTGAACGATGACACATTTCCAAAGAACCCCCATGGACTCAGGACAGCACTTGTTTGGAAATCATCTACCATGTTATTAATTTCATACCACGTGGGGGACTTACTTCTCCCCACATGTCTCTCCCTCTAGGTCCATGAAGACACACCCGCCGTGTTGCTGTCCTGTCCCACCCCCTGTGGGATCATCCCTCCCCACAGCACCATTTACATACCGTTAGCTTTGGAGACCCAAGTCATTGGGAAACACAGAGCCACAATTTACATCTCAGCCTTTGGGAGCCCGGACCCCCCAATGGTGAGAGCCAATTTTCAGAACTGCAGTCAAAATTGCTATACTTCTTGCCAGACATTTGAAGCCTCCACATGTAAGGCACATGCCATATTCGCATGTTTTATGTGTCCCCTCAGCAGGGGTGAAATACGAAACCTGTGTTACTTTGGGGGTCGGTTTGTGGACATGCTTAAATAGCGGTGTTTTCCAGCAGGAGTTTCTCACCACATACGGGCATGAGTGACTCCTGCTGCAGCCCTGCCCAGTCAGGCCTCTGCGGGGAGAGGACACCTGTTTGCTAACCATCCTCCTCAGTGCTGCTGGGGCAAAGCTGGGCTTCACTAGCTTGCTGCACATGGGCTCTGAGCCTGGTTTCCCTCACTTCTCATGGGATCTTTTCCTGTGTATCGACTGTACACACAGCCCAAATTAACCTACTGAAGCTGTTAAGGGAAGCAGCCCCTCTCCAAGCGTGGGAAGAGGGAGGCAGCTCTCTGCTCCTTGAGCTGAACTGAAGGATGAATCATGAATCTGGAAGGAAATTGCCCAACAGGCTATGAATCTCTAGACATTTTGTTTACTTGGGAGCTGGGGGATGTCAGGTTTGAAGATTCTGAATGCTTAGAGAGTAGAATAAACTACGATTTTGCTTTTATCCCTTCCATGGAAGATGCCGTAGATAAGCCACCTGACTTATAAAGCAGCATCACAAAGGCAGGCCAACCTGAAAGGTGACAGCGGTCCAGGTCCCCTGCTCACCTGCACTGTGTCTACCCCGCACAGATGCAGCCTGTGAGAGGGTTGCTTGCTGAGCAGGCCACACTGTATGAAAGAAAAGGTCCCTCTTCCTCGGGTAGACACAGTGCCTGGCTGGAGGCACGGGGTAAAGGGAGCAGAGCAAGGTGGATTTCAGTCCCCAGCCTGCACGACTGTGTGCAGTGGACGGCTCTGTCATGCCCCTAGTAAAACAACAGAACAGGGACTCAGTCCAGCTGCTTCCGACTCTGAAGTGCTTTCCTTAGCTGCAGTTTAAGTGTTTTGGGGGCTGGAGTGCTGGCTGGCACATAGAGGGCCATTATTCTGGTTTTCCCTTGGTCCTTGGCTCTGGCTGGCCCAGGGGGCAGATCATCCTTCCTGGGGAGGAATTCCATGCTGGATTCACAGGTCTGACCAGGATGGCCATCCCTCTGTCCCTCTGACTGCCGAGTACAGGAGAAGGGATGTCAGTTCTAGTAGGTACCCTTTTGTGTCTCAGCTTTTATTAAAGGGTTTCTAGAAGTTGTTTCCATTGATATTAAAGGCCAACTACTTTCAGCTATTCCCATGTTCTTCCTCTCACACGGATCACAGGTATGTCTCCTAAAGAGCATCGGAGAAGGCCCGGTTATCTACATACATCCCACTCAAGTTGATTTTGGCAATATCTATGTCCTAAAGGACTCCTCCAGGATTCTCAACCTGTCAAACCAGTCCTTCATCCCCGCTTTATTCCAGGCACGCATGGTGAGTAGACTGTGGGACTGCTGTGGGATGAAATCAGCCTTGCCTATATCTTGTAGGCAGTGGCTCTATTTTTGCAATGTGCCTTAGAAAATGATCACCAGAAAGAGAAATTTACATGGTTCAACTGCATTAAACCATGCCATTCTCATCCCTGGTTCCTCTTTATTATAATCCTTTTGTTGACTAAGAAGCACAACATGCATGTAGTGTGGTAAATAAGCAAATATATTCACTATGGTCCAATTCAAAAAGATGCTTTAGATACCTCCTTACTGAGCTCAATCTAACCCCAGCCCCACACCTCCAGAAAACACTATTTAAATGTCTCTGTAATGGAAAATGCTTTATTACATTTAATTTGAACCCTTTAGGCTACAAATTTGTTCATATACTTATTCTATTTTCATCCTCTTTTCTTTCAAGGAACACTTTAACATAGTTTATAAGAATGTATGAAAAACAAGAGAGTATTTGCTAAAAATAGAAATTAAAGAAAACTATGAAACAAAGATAGATACAAAGATATAAAATGGTTCTAGAAATGAGTCCATCTTGTATCTGTATATTTTACAATGATATTTAGATCATTAGCTCTGCTAATCTTCTGTAAGTTAATTTTTAAAAGAGATAATTCCATTTTTTGTAGAACTTGGAAATTTCTAATCCAGTAATTCAAAGCATTCTTGGTTTTAGAAAAAGGTTTCTAAATATAAATATTAATTTTTATAGTATAGCCCTTCTCCTATCCCCAAATTATTGACATTTGAATGAACATGAACATTTGGTCTCAGCATTTGTTAGGTGTTTCTGAAAAAACAAATATTATGTGTATTACCAAAGTCACTAACAGAAGGAACAGGATCATATTTTTCTGCTGACTTAACAACTCCTCAGAGTCCTTGGCCCCAATTAGCACCCATTCTAGTGTGATCATAATCCTTATTACCATTTGTCATTGCTCCTTATAAAAGCAGCTGTTTCTTGTACACCTCCTTCCCTATTGTAACTGATAGTCTGTTGTCTATATTTGTGGGTCTATTTCCTTTTTGTTTGTTCGTTTGTTTTGTTTTTTAGATTTCATATATAAGTGAAATCATTGGTATTTGTCTTTCTCTGCTTGGCTTATTTCACTTAGCATGATACCCTCTTCATCCATCCATGTTGTCACAAATGGCTAGATTTCCATCCTTTTTATGGCTGAGTAATATTCTATTGTGTATATGTTCCACATCTTCTTTATTTATTCATCTGTCGATGGGCACTTGGGTTGCTTCCATATCTTTGCTGTTGTAAATAGTGCTGCAGTGAACACAGGTGTGCCTATATCTGTGTCAATTAATATATGACAGAGGAGTCAAGAATATACAATGGGGGAAAGACAGTGTCTTTAATAAGTACTATTGGGAAAACAAGACAGCTACATGTAAGAGAATGAAACTAGATCATTGTCTTACACTGTATACAAACGTAAACTAGAAATGGATTAAACATCTAAATGTAAGACATTAAAATGTAAAACTCGTGGAAGAAAACATAAGCAAGAATCTCTTGAACATCAGCGTGAGAAATTTCTTTATGGATATGTCTCCCTGGGCAAGAGAAACAAAAGCAAAAATAAACAAGTGGGACATCAAACTAAAAAGCTTCTGCACAGCAAAGGAAACCTTCAATGAAACAAAAAAGCAGCCTACAGTATGGGAGAATATATTTGCAAATGATATATCTGATAAGGGGCTAATATCCATACATAAAGAACTCGACAACTCAACACCAAAATCCAAATAATCCAACTAAAAAATGGACAGAAGACCTGAACAGACATTTTTACAAGGAAGACAATGTAGATGGTCAACAGACACATGAAAAGATGCTCCACTTCCCACCACTCAGAATGACCACTATCCAAAAGACAAGAAATAACAAACACTGGCAAGAATGGGGAGAAAAGGGAACCTTCCTGTCCTGTTGGTGGGAGGACCTTGTTTTTTTCCTAATGTAGTATATATACTGAGTGACCCAGCTACTTGTTACAAAGGGACTCTTCCTTTTCAACAAAAGGTTTCATGATTCCATCTTTTGATTCTTTAATGTCGTCTTAAATTTACAAGCTCTAGTTCCCAGGAGCCAATTGACTGGTATATGTGATCTACTATAGAATGTGTTTTCCCCTCTATCCTCACTTGGGAAACTGTGTTTATTGAGTTGATTACCCTTATAGTATAAAAGTTAGTTTCAGCTATAATTCTCATAGGTGAAAATTAAACTCCTTTCATATTTCAGCTGGGAATATTTTATGGATATCCTAGTACATACTATATGATAATATTATAGGACTTGAACTACAATAACTTAGAAATTAACTACAGTGAGAAGAAATACCATTTATTAATTTCAACTTGATATATAGTACTGAACTTGAAAATTCATTCTTACAGAAATTACCAAGCATTAGGAAAGAGTTTCAATTTATGGTTGTTTGTTCCCTAACTAAACCTAGAGTTCAGTGGTGTTGAGATATTTATTGCATTGAATTTCTCACTCACTCAGAAGTAAGTAGGGCCAGGGACACATTCTTCACTTCTGACACTACAAATTCACATCTGGAAGCTCTCTTTTCCTGCTGGACGCCCTGACAGGAGGGGACATCCTCTCTTCTCAGGCTGTCAGTGCATGTCAGCCCTCCCCAGAGGCGGTACCCTCTCCCAGCACTTGTCACGCTCAGCCTGGGGCATGACCTGCACATCACAGTGACCCCTGTGAGCAGATTCTCCCTTAGCAAGACACATCTGTCTGTTATTAGCTACAGGGCTCAGGAGATGGGAAGCTGGAAACCTCTTCCTGTGATGTTGGGAAGATAAAGACAGAGCAATTTTGAATTTCTCAGAAATAAATGCTACATAAAAAAATGATTGAAAACAACCCAGGTAACTCTTAGTATCATACAGCATGAAGAAAGAGGGAATATTGTATTTTTTCTGTTCCATGAAAGCTTAATTTATCTTGAATGTACAAAAACAGATGAGTGAAAGTAGAATGTTCTGTGACCTGGAGCAGCAGTTCTCCTTTGCTTTGGAATGCCTGCAATTCCAGCTTTCCCTACAGGTCCCCCGTGGGTGACTCACTCAAGCTAAACGACTTACAGAGCAAGTCGCCCCCTGTTTGGAGGGGCAAGACACATCAGGACGTGAGAGCAGAGCGCAGCAAGGCCCTTTTAGGGAGGGGACATGGGCTCTGCTTGTGCACTCAGTGCTCCTTTGGGGTGATAGGTTCCCTGTCCCTGGTAACAGCAGACAAGGACGAGAATATGGTGGTCTTCCCCAGACCCTGGGACCTCAGACTGGGCAGAAGAGGGATGTCTTCTTTGTGTGGAGGCCCCCTGCTAGGCAGAGCAAGTGCATCACTCAGCACTTGTTTGGAAACAGCACTTGTTTTCCTTTTACTCTTGTCTTTAATTCAGCCACAGGTACCATTAACTCGAGAACTTGTACACAGATGTCAGCGATTCCTTAGGATTCAGCTGGCACTAAAGCATCTTACAGCGGCCTTCTGTCTCTGTGATCTGTGGGAGATGCCACTGTAGTTAGATCTTTAGATTTCCAGGATCCAGGAAACAGAAATTCTGATGCCTCCTCATTCGAGCATGATTCTCTTCAAGCATTTATTTTCTTGGTCACTTGCCAGCACCACCCACAGTGAGGTGGCATCAAGGGAATCAATGGGCTTTCACATCTCCTTCAGGTCCCAAGCCACTGGACAATTTCCTCATTTAACAGGAATTTATATATTTACTTGTTTATATGCCTGTCTCCTTCAAATGGCAAGGCTCTCTGCCTTCAATTCCCAGCACCGAGCAATTGGCCTTTGAATCATGATGATGACAATATGTTATTAATTATAACTAACGTTTATTTAGTTCTATCCACCACTTTATATGAAGTATTTCATTTATTACAACTCTGTGAAAGAAATACTGTTATAATGCCCATTTTAACGAGGTAGAAACAGAGGTACAGACAGGTTAAGTAAATTACCATAACCTCTAAGGGGCAGAGCCTAGTTCCAACCCTGGCGGTCTGACTTCAGACCCATGCTCTGTTCCACTGTGCTGTGTACTGTGAACTTTGCCAAATCAGTGGCTACTAAATAGACTTAGAAATGTGAAAGGATTTTGGTTTCATGTTTATAAAAGACCCTTAAAGTTAGACCTAGAAGAGCAGGTTTAACCTAAAGGGCAGAAGAGGAAATTAAGGAGCATTTCTGTAATAGATAAAAGGACCAGATACTTTATTCAGAGAAGTGTTGAAGCATATATATGCAAGTCATCTTCCATATGTCATTTTCAACCAACCATAATTCCTTCATTTGTATATCTGAAATAAAGACACTTAATGTACTTTCCTACTTTTTTTGATCCTTAGCAATGCAGTATGACAAAGCATTCAGTTCACATATGTAGGCCTATGTAAAAATTATTCACTACTAAAGCTCTTAAAAGAGACTTAAACACAAAGTTATGATCTATTTTAACAAAGTAAATCGACAAACCCAGAAGGAGATTGGCAGGGGTTTTACATGCACTGAGACTTTGGTACTGAACCCTGTTTATTTAGGAGATAGTGAAGTTGTAACCATTCCAGAGAACTCATTTTTAACTTGTACCAACTACTTGGTCAAAATCTGTAGCTATACCCCCCACACTACCCTATCCATACACACTGGCAGCTCACACTATAGATCTAGAACTTAGCCCTCCCTTTGGGGCACTTACTGTATTAGGGAATTCATGCAGAGAGATTTCTATTGGGCAAGCAATAATTCTCTAAGGCTTTTTGATAGATGATATTATTAAGTTGCTACACCCCAGAATGTGTGTGAAGAGAAAACAGAATGAGCTACTTCTCAGCCTTAAATGGGTTGATTATCTCTGCCCTCAAAAGGAACCATTACTTCTATGGAAGGAAACAGGGGAGAAAAAAAGGCATAAGGAAAATGGGGGAAAA